TAAACAAATTTTCAAGGTAGTAGACCAGGAAGGCACCTGATCCTCAAAAATAAATTTGTTTTTGGGACCTCTATTGTGAAAAGTTTTTTTCCACTGGAAAAAATGCACATCGAATCTCCCTTTGCTTAGCTCCTGAGGGGGGCTTCTCTTGAGCTGAAGATCTGAGGCTGCAAAGCAAAAGGATTGCTGAGAACAATTACAAAGCACCTGAGAAAGGAAGCTGAATACAATCTATGAAAGGAAAATTAATACTACAATCACTTACAAAAGATCCCTCACCAGGAATCCAGATTTGTTTTGGTGATAGTTTATTATAGAGGTCCCCCTGTTTGTTTGAGGGGGGGGGACCCCCCTTTACTAATCAGGATCCAACATTATGATGAGTGGTGTATGATGAGTGGTGTATGATGAGTGGTGGTTGAACAGCTGTTGAATGTCCGCAACACGGAAGTTTTGCACACTAAACTTCCTTTGATCATTATTTATCTATCTCTACTGTCCTGTGCACCTAACCTTAGAAGCACACCGCCTTCTCAAGTACTCATGTGTAGTTGCACGCATACAGCATCTGGCTTTTGAGAAATTCCTGTCATGCAAAGCTCATCCACTGATCACGGAAAAACCTGTCGTAGCCGCGTAGCCCTGCGGAAAAACCGAGCGGTAAGCCGGCTCGGCTCACTGACCTGCTGCTGCTGCAGAATGTGGACGAATAAGGCACCAATCTCTTGTTGGATCGAGGTCAGCAAACGCAAGGTCCTGGAACATTGGAGGTCACCCGGTCTCGAAACACTACAAACACCGCAGTGGAAACACCTCTATAACTGCATTCTGCCAGGCCAGGCCATAACTAATCATTGAATAGCGTGATCTCCTATTAAGTGAGGACCTCAATCAAAAGTTCCAATCGTTGCTGCTTGGAGACCTCACATTCCTCAATCGTCCCACATCCCACGTCATAGAGCCTGGGACTTCCCTCATAAGTAAGAGAGAGAGAGAGAGGGAGAGAGATGTAAGTTACATGACCTCTACCATACACCTTCCTTCTTCCGTGCACCTCACAATTTACACCCCTGCTTGAAATCTCACCCGTTTCCAATCTTTTCTCCCATGTTTCATTCGATCGACTCTGATTTGCAACCAAACCAACGAAGCAGGTCTCCAGGAGGCAACAGTTGTGGCGATCTCATCGTCATTGAAGAGCTGGTTCAGCAGCTCCTTTTCTAGCTTGGTCAAGTTCAGTGCACTCATCCTTGAACAACTACACCCAGCAAAAAGGAACAAAACTGCTGGAAAGATTTGCTCCTATTTTTGTGCCATCCTCGAATCAATGGAGGAAAAGCGTCAATTGCGCACAGTTACGTAAGCTTGTGAAAATGAAGCAAGCCAAGTAAACTTACAAGTTTTATTAAGTTTGTAAGTATAAAGTATAAAGCATAAAGTTGTTGTGATCTTCACGTTCACTTAAAATATCTTGAAATGTTCTTAGGCCCTTCCTTGCCTTGGAAAACTCTCGAGCGCTGAACTGCACTTGAGCGTTCTGCATGGTCTGCGACACCACCTAGCTTGTTAGGAAACCACAGCGGCATCTGTTCCAAATGGAGCGTGCAACTGCGCCAATCTGTTCCAAGCCTGAATAGTGGTTTGCAACGGTTCCAATCTGTTGCACGGTCCATGTGATTAGTATCCATGGGGACACTATACGGACACGGACACATGGAAGACGTGGGAAAGATCGGGCAACAATAGGATGCCGGGAATCCTTCTCTCTGGGAATCGCCAAAACATCATCTTCGCCGCACCTCCCCTCATTGTTGCCTCAACGTACACTTGTTGGTCGTTTGAGCATACTGATAAGCGTTTTAAGGTAGAAAAGTAAATCCCAAATGTGTTGGACACATTTGGAAACCATGAAACTCTTCCTCTCTACCTTTCTATTGGGGCCCCCCAATTCCTCGTTTTGCCTTGACTATCTCACTGTGCACGGAGTTCTTCCACTGTACATCCACTCGTCCCCCACACCCCGCGGAATGGACCTCCGCACTTTCTTGCGCCGCTTGGGAGCGCAGCATCGTCCTGTGGAGATCGTCAGTGGTTGGCTCGTTGAGTCAGTCTGTGTGAATACTTCTTCAACTGAGAAGTAGCTCTGGCTGTTCAAAACCATTCCAAACGGGCCATGAGTGCATGGATGGCTTCTCTTTAACCTTGGTGTATCAAAGGAACGGATATCTCGGGTGCGTCTTCTTTTTTGGGGCCTATCCGAAGTTTGCAGATTGGAATTCATCAGGCTTCGGCGGACCTCATGGGCAGTTTCGCTGGTCTTTCTGGCGCATCAAGATGTCAAGAAGCTGGTGGATAAGCAGGCAAAACAACTGAACAAATATGGAAGCAACTTGGAGCGCTCTTGACCCACCCACAGGCAAGTCATTTATTTGGAACGAAAAACACTCATCCCTACTGCTTGAAACAACCACTGAGCAGGATTGACTAATTACAAACTGTCTGCCTAAATCCCAATGTCCTATAAATTCATAAAAGCATTAAACCCGAATTGTCCAATGTTATAATCCCTGAAATGTCCCCCCTGGTGGTTCTCATGGTTGAAGCAAAAGCTGTTATGACAGAGTGACAGGGGTGGTTGGGAAAGAAGACACACCGCTCGACGCTCGACGTGAGGACATTTCAAGCCGAAAGACGGTTGTCGAAGGCTGGAACATCAACCTAACTGGAAAAGATTGGAAAAGGTATGTCAGTGATCCTGTAACAATCTGTATGATGGACTCCCAACACTGGCATCAGTGTGACATGCGCCCACGAACACGTCTCCAGTTGATGATCACATAGCCGATGCCCAGGGCTAATGCTCCCCCACCTTTGCAATGGGAGATGTACATCGAGAGGACGATACACACCGGTCGGTGTGGGCCTTTACAAAAGCTAACATCTGCCAGCATCTGCCCACATATCCAGGCAAAGCTGAGGTGGACGACCGATTTTCTCACCGGAGGGGAGGTAGGAAGTGGCAACAAGAATGGGACTGGAATGGCTTTAGACACATGTTGTCAGCAACTTATGACAATGGTGGGCGACGGACTTCCACGGATTGATCACCAAATAAAAAGAAATGTCACCATTCCAAGTGCCAGGCCAATCGTGAGGAAGGTGTAGGACAGTTGCACATTCCGGTAGATCTGGCGTGAAACAGCACTCCATCTCTCAGAGACTGGGGCTGGAAGGCTACCGTGGCCTGGAATTGCGATTTTAGCAATTGTGATGCTCCATTTAAAGTCTTCTGCTCTGCCCTGAAATATGTGAAGCTGGGTCCTGGAGGCCACTTGGATCAACTAAAACGAGAATTGGAAACACATTGGGACAGGCTGAAGGGGACTGCTTCTCTTTTTCTACATCGGTAAGCCAACATGAAGCAAACGTTATCAATAATACAGCTACGTATAATTAGCCCTGTGTCATGGAGGGTGCATCAACGATCATCAACGCGCATAGGTCCGATAGGGGTACGAGGCTCATGCAAAGGAGAAATCGCGATAGAAGGCTGTTTGTATTTTCTGGGCTCAGGGTTGGATGCCAATGAAGGATCATACACGATGTTCTGAAAATGGTGGATTCATCCCCATACAAGGAATATGGAGCACGACATTTGGGATCTATGTTGTTCGTCTCCTGAGGATAGCAAAGCTCGCTCCCAAAGCTCGCTTTCTGCTGCTCAACTGTACCAGCCATGTGAAAATAATCTGAGTTGATGAGGGCAATCATCAAATCTCGGAGCCAGTTCTCTTTCCAATCCATCAGACCGGCAGGAACTGTTCCACCGGTTCGACCGTGACGTGTTTCTTTGTTCGGCGATCTTGTTGTTTGATGCAAGCGCTGGCGATGCAAGCGGGGGCGCGCAATCACCCCGTTGTTGGTTGAATCATGTTGAATCATGTGTTTTCTTTAATTGCCAAATGGCCAAACAAGGGAGCCATGCCCGGGTTACTTGCTTGATTTTGAGGGGTCGACGTGAATCCATCCGTGTGTGACTTGCGCATACTTGCCGAACCCAGAATCCAAACATGCGTACGGCTTTCTGAACACCCTCACCTTCGACAGGCGCTCCATCTGCGTGTGCATTTGCCGCGACGAGGTGTCGTAGAGCTCCCGGAGGTGAGGGTGCCCAGTGCTGCTGCCGGACGCGCCCGCGCCAGGCGCGCTGCTGGCGCTGCTGGTGCTGTTGGTACCCGATCCAGAGGGCTTGGGATCCTCCTTTTTGAGAGGCCTCAGCTCAAAGACAAAGAGGCAGCAAGAAGGCTGCGAGTGGTAGTTCTTACAACGATGGCTTTGCACTGTTTTCTACCCGCATGGGGACAGGGAAAGTGAAACAAATCTCCTAAGGCCTACAGTATGCAATATGCAAGCGAGGCCTACTTTCGCAGGGCGTCTTCCGCTGTTCCACACTGAGGTGTCCAAGTCTGACCAATCGAGCCCTGAACCTCTCGCTGCTGGCACTGCCGCTGGCGCCCGATCCGGCGGGCTTGGGATCCTCCTTTTTGGGCGGCCTCGGTTTGAAAACAGGCACTCAACTGAAAATTGGAGCAACAGTCGGGGTTTCGCGCAGCAGCAGCAGCAGCAGCAGCACCAAAGTTTGGTGCCTTGTTTTATCTTGTTCTGACTGATGTGATAGGGAATGAAGCCCGTTGTCAAAAGAATGGAACGTTCTTCTTCGCCAGTGGTATTGGTGGTTGCCTCTGTGATGCAAAACCAAAATTGGTACTTCTGGCAAAGCGGCTGAAACAATTCCAAGTTCCTGACGTGTCAACTTTTGTGCAGTCTGGCTTGCCTTTTGAGGTCGAGTTAATATACATTCATGGATGTATGGAGTTCTGAAGTAAAACAACGGTCTCAACTAAAAAAAACACTTGCTGATAATGCTGGCGACGCGTGTTTAGTGATTGTCACTCGAGATATATACTACACTATTACTACACACAATTCAGTTTGGATTTATGCTTCCGAGAAATTTGCCGAGAATAGCACAACACCCCATGTCAAGTGTTGAAACAGGCGATCCACTCAGAAGATGCTCTGCTCACAAACTATAAGACTTCCTGTGGCCCTGTCCTCGTACACCTCATCTCGACCAAAAGTGCTACGTGGCCTCCCACAACCTCCCACACCAAAACTACTGGGACGCCCGGACTGCGACGCATTGGATCGCCAGCACCTCCGAATCCGCGTCAAGATGGGGCCGGGGGCAACCCCATTGGCCTTGAGGTTGTTTCACATCGGCCGACAGACATGTCAATTGGCCAGTCTAACAGGTTGTTTTGGAAGAATTTCTCATTTAGAAACATGACCACATGTTTATTCTGTGGGATTGTTTGCACCATGTTATCCTTGATTCTTGGGATAACCATGTGGGTGAAATGTGGGCGGATCACAAAACATAACTTACCTTGGATTCATGCCGGCGAAACTGCACTTTGAGGTTTACAAAGACCTGGGCCTATCTACGAGGTTCACCCGTGCGTGTTGCGAGCTTTCGCACGATACTTCTCCCAAATTCTGAAACGAGCCACAGGTCCTCCCGTGTCCGAAATCCCCCGTGCTGACTATATAATCAGTCTCGTTCACCCATCACCTCTACAGCCGAGGCCCATCTCCAATCCCCCACAGAAAAGGGACAACCTGCGCTTGCGCGCCATCCAAAAATCTGACGAAAGCAAGCTGCGCATCATGGGTGTTCATGGGAAAAAGCCCGTGTTTCCCATTGTGTTTCCCACCATTGGGCCGCCGGACACCAACAGGTGCCGCTCGGAGGGCAGAGGCCTGAGTCGGTCTGAGATGGTCGATAGTACTCCACGTCTGAGCGTCACCTGGTCTCCCCACGGGTGTTTTGTGTAAACATCATCGCCATGGTCTCCTCGTAAGGACGAACATCGCTCAAGAATCTGAGCACCATCTGAAAACATGAGATACCCACTGAGACACCCCTCCTACCAGGGAGAACAAACACTCTTTTGACCATACCCTAAAAAGTCGGTCCATCTCTCTCTCTCTCTCTCAGACTCAACGAACCCTTACCTTAGATTTCTTGGCTCATCCTATGCTCCTTGAGCACATGTGACACTTAAGATGTCCTCATCAGATTTCGACAAGCGAATCAAAGGGGCAGAAAGTATACCTTCGGAACAACAACTTGAAAAACTACACATGAATTTCCTCCAATATAGCCACTAAAAATCGGCAGACTTTGGGCAGGGGGTCCATATTGATCGTGTGCTTTTCCGCAGCTGCATGGCTTGCGGCTGGCGTTTTTGATTGAGCAGTGCACTGCGATGCGCCCCATGGCCCGAAAACGTCAGAGCATCTGACTGGCGCCCCAGAATCCATCTCTGTCCTGGCGGACGATCTGGCACCCCCGGTGGGGTCCATGAAAGGACGCACCCTGCGGGGCCCCTCCGGGTCCCTCAAGCTGTGACTTTCGAGTTTCCCAAGCTTGTTTGCCTGCAATCCTTCACTTGAGACTTGAACAAAATCAATCTGGAAATCTGAGTTTGCCAGGTCAAACAGCATGCCGTCGTAAATACCCCCTCTTGTGAAGTAAGATCGCAAATAGCTCTGACTGATATGGACGGCAGTCGACTTAGCGATTTCCCGAAGCCTTGGACCTGCCACCATACCCAAGGCCTTACACCTTTCGTCCTTTTCTTTTTGTCTGTGTAATAGCGACGGCCTCCCACCTACTAGCGATGGCCTCCCTCCTAATAGCGATGGCGAAGAAGTAGGGGTTCTTATGCCCACTCTGGATCTTCCGCTGCCTCGGGGTGCTTGTAGCACACGCGGCCCAAGCTGTGCGATCGCTCGCACGCTCAAGCGCCGAGTCATCCGCAGTCGCGCCAGTTGTACAGAGGGTGTGTGGAGAAACCACACCAGTGACAGTGAAGTTGCTGAATCATACTGAATCCTATGAAATCCTGTGTTTGGGGAATGCGAGCAAAAAGACAACATGTCAATGTCAATAGGTTTGAAGTGAAGTAAAAACAGAAGCACATTGAATGTGACATGTACTCTGGGTTGGGTGGCCAAAAGAGGTACCAAAAAACAAGACTGACAGGGACTCCCTATGAGCCCAGATCTTTGCATGTCTAGATCTTGGGATGCTGTATCATCCGTCTGTCCCTTGTTTGCAGGCTTGTGTGCGGCTCTCTTCTTTGAGTTTTCTTTCATGACTTTGGCAGGTCGGTTCGACGACCTACACACCAAACCGTTCGATCAGACGACGGCGGGCATCACAACAAGTATGTCAGCATCTCAGAGACAGGCTGCTATCAAGTCATGGCCAGTCATGGCCATTTAGAAGTGTGAAATCATCCGAAATGCACACCATGTTGAAAGGTTCAGAAGGCAGCGGCGGTAGCTTCTGTTTGGAGACCATTGAAGGTTTTGTGGACTTAGGACAACATGTTTGACATCACCATCTAGCTGACCCAGCCGATTCCAACTCCGACCCATGAAGAGATCTACCAATCGGAAGGGCTTACTGGACGCCCGTTGACCCAAAGATGGCTGCACAGCTCCCATGTGATTTCAGGTTGTTATTTGGTCCAAGAGCTGTATTCAGTTCAATCCCGGGAGCCGAAGAAAGCCAGTCGAGTCCAATCTCGCTTGTCTCTGGAACATCGGCGATCTGAGCGATTCAAGCAAAATATGGTTCCATATCCTGAACAAAGGACTCCTGAACCTGCATCCATTCGAGCACCTCCCCTATTGACCACGGACGATTGAACAAGTACGTGCAACAAAAATCCAAACTGCTCTGTGATCCAAGGTCGGAAGCTTCCCACTGCCAGGAGTTCTTGCTGGCACTAAAAGTACACACCTGTTTATTTGGCTGTTGATGTTCAAGTCCAACATGGAAGATCGCTCGCACGCAAGTTGCCTGAGCTTCCTAGCTCTCCTATCTGTCGCCACATCGATGCGGCCCGGTACATCTCCTCGGCCTTTTTTCGTCGTTACCCTCACAGGAACCACCTGGGCGAGGAAGCGACTAACCCGCGTTCCTTTCGTTCTGAGCAGCAAATGCAGGGCAAGCTGAGACAGCGGTGTGTCATTTTTGCCCAAATGACTCATTGGAAAAGAATCCTGTTCTACCCTATGGATAAAAAGAGCATACAACACATAAGATCATATAACGTATGTATGTACGTATGTATGTATGTATTTTTTTTCTGAAGGGTGTGCTGCTCATGCTCTTTGGCCTCTCAACTAGGCTCAGACGGGTCAGAAGTAGTCCACAGTGATGGAGGGGTCTTCTCCGTCATGGCCTTCATGGCCAGGGCTTGTTGCCTCTGGCGTGGCATGGTTCGGCGGTCTGCTCAAGGGATCGTGTGGGCTGGGTGTCATGGCCTGTTCTGGCATGCTTGCCAGGGATCCCTGAGCTTGCTGATCCAGCTTTGTGGGAAAGTGTAGCCGCCTTGGAGTCGGTCCTGAACCCTTGAGGTTGGGCTCTGGTGGATCAGCAGGCTGCTGATGCTGCAGCCGGGGTTTCTTGGTAGTAGGTGCCACTGCCTGTGTTGCATGCTGGCTCAGTTGGCTGCTGCCACTTGCCGAGTCCTCTGGGCTCTTTGGTGATGCTTGTGTTGCTTGCCGGCGGAAAAACTCTTCCAGGGGTGGGGAGCCCGTGCTACCTGCGCCTTTGCAGGGCTTTTTGAAGGCAGTGGTGAGGATGAGTCTTTGGTGAGCATCCAAATGCAGACTCAAGCCACATTGTGCGCAATTGACTTTGTTGCCCTTTTGCCAAAGGACGTGGCTGCTGTGTCCTTCATGGGTAGCTGTGTAGGGCTGGTCCAAACATTGTCCGTGGACGAAAGCCTGGAACAGCTGTTCATTGCTCCTCTTGTGGACATTGGCTCCACACTTGACACAGCGCAGATAGCCTGTGGTCTCATCAAACTCATGCTGCTGCTGAGGTGGTACTTGGTCTCTCTGCTGTTGCAGAAGCTGCTTGATGACCTGTTGCCTGGTCTGTTTTTTGGGCAGCGGTTGATGAGGTCTTTCTGGTTCAGGCATCTGTGCCTCAATGCTGAGCTGTGGACATTCTGCATGAAGGTGCTCTTCTATGGCCTGGACCGTGAGGGCTTGATGCACTCTGACTCCACAGGCCCCACATTGGTATCCACTTCTGTGTGGCATCCACCGGTGAGATGGTGCCTGCCAAGGGTGTTTGCACTGTGCAATGAGCTGTTTTTTGTATTGCTTCGTGCGCTTGCCTTGGTGTCGGTTCTGCTTTTGGTGGATGTAGTGATCTTTGCTGTTGAAGATCGCTGCCAATCTGTTGATTGCGTGTGTATAGATGAGTTTGTCGCCCTCATCTAACACCTGCTGCCATTCTGTGCTCCTTCTATGCTGGAAGGTCTTGGCCCGTTCCCATGCGGCTAAGGCTGCATCACGTTGTCGTCGTCGAAGCTGCGGCTCACTGCCTGGTGCTTGTGGAGACTTGGTGTTTCTGGCCACATAGAGCACGGTGACTCGTTGAAAGTCTTGCGCGGTGATCTGCTCAAGCTGGTCCAGGAAGGGTCCTCTGTGTTTTGGCTGGGTCCATGTATGTATGTATGTATGTATGTATGTATGTATTTTTTTCTTCCTAGAGTTGCGCTGCATGGTCTTTGCCGGTCTTCTAGGCGTGTTGCCTCAGGTGCGGTCCATTGCCTCAGTCGGCCAGGTTTTAGAAGTAGTCCACTGTCATCTCCGTGGTGTCTTCTCCCGGTGGGTCGGTTTCATTGTCCTCTGCTTCTCCTGGGGCGGACGCCGCTTGGGTGAACCGAGCCGGTGGTGACAGGCCGGGCTGGTTGGTCGTGCCAGTCTGTGGAGAAGCTGGCGCTGGCTGGGGTTCATGGCCGGTTGGTTTGACCTCTGGAGGGCCTCCAACTTGTGTGCCTTGACAGGTCGAGGCTTGCGTGCTAAAAAGCTGGAGCAAGTTCGGTGACCTTTGTGTGTTACCTTGGCATTCCTTGGAAAGCGCCTTGGTCAAAAACCACCCGGTCGTCGGCATCCAGGTGACTTTGTGCGCCACAGTTGAGGCATTTGATGCCTTTGCCCTTTTGCCAGAGAGCATGGCTGTTGTGGCCGCTATGGGCTTTGGCGTAGCTTTCATCGATGCGCCTGCTTTGGATGAAAGCCTGGAAATTTTCCTCATTGGTTCGTTTGTGGACTGAGAGGCTGCATTTGGTGCACTTGAGGTACCCTGTGGTCTCCTGGAAGGAGTGTTCGTCGGCCGCTTGGGGATGTTGCTGTTGCACTTCAATGGCCAACTGGTTTGTCAGGCCGGAGGTCTGGTTCTGGACCCTCATGGGTCAGGAGTTCACAGTCTTGTTGGAGGTGGTTCTCTATGACCTCAACCGTGAGGGCCTGATGCACTCGAGTGTGGCAGGTTTGGCATTGGTAGCCACTCCGACGCCGAACCCATTGGTGCTTGTTGGGCTGCCACGGAGCCTTGCACTGGTTGATGAGTCGCTTCTTGTATTGTTTTGTGGTATGGCCTGCACGGCGTACCGGCTTGTCGTGGATGTAGTGTTGTGGATCTTTGTAGATCTTTTCGAGTCTTGCTGCTGCTTGTTTGTAAATTCTCAGGTGATCTTGGTCTAAGGTCTTCTGCCAGTCTTCCGCTTGTCGGTCATACAGCGTGGATGCCCTTTCATAGGCTGGCAGGGCCGCATCCCGCTGCCGTCTTCTGAGATGGGGTTCGTTGCCCGGTGTGTCTGGTGTCCGCTGGTTCTTGTGGATGTACAAGGGCGTAATGCGTTGGAAGAGGTGGTCATCAAACCCTTTGGCCAGGTCTTCAAAGCCTTTCCTCTTGCGTGGATTTGTCCATGCCTCCCAGACTGAGCCAAGCTGGACGATCACATTGGTCGGAGTGAGCACAAATTGGGCCAATGTGATGAGCCCTTGGAAGAGCGCGCGAGCTTTGGTCTGCGGACGTGATGGCGCCCTTCCTCAGCAGTGTGCCCATTGAGAAAGTGTGCACGCAGAGGGCGAAAATCCAGGCCTGGGAGCGTGGGTCATAGGAGGACGGAGTGGCATCCAACGTCACTGAAAGCCCTTGCCATGGCTGGAGGGTCAAGGGCTCCAGCGTGTTCCAGCAGCCTTGGCCTTGTAGCGGTTGTGCCACTTGCAAGTGATCTTGTGGCTCCTTGGGCGCCCAGCCGTGGGCCCACAAGGATTCATTCGATTGCAAGTGGTGCATGGCCCTGGTTGTGGTGCCAGGTGCACAGCCACACAATGCGCTTTGGAGTTGCCGGAACATTGCACAAGGGACAAGGTTTGATCTTGTCACCCTGTCGGTAGTGGATGGCTGCCTGGTTCCACGTCTTCATGTGTTGGAGCTGTTGTTTTGAAAGCACTTTGGCTGCCTTCTTGGCTGTTGTCCAGTCGAGGCCGCTGACCAGGTTTTGGCAGTTTTTCCTGCTGGCAATGCGACTGGTGCGTTGTTGTTGGGCTTCATGGTGGAGTATCTGTTCAATGGTGGCCCAGTCATCCTGCAGGTTGATGTGGGCCTCTGTCATGAATGCAGTTTCATGTCGGTGCCACTGGTAGAGGGTGTCAGTGGTCCATCCCCATTCGTGGAGGTAAGCCAGTGTGGCTGCAAGCGGTCCCTTGACATGGTACCACTGGTGCTGCTGTTTGTGGAGCTGGTTTCGGATGGTGATCCAAGCCTGTTCCACACGCTGGATGTGGTCTGCCGGCCAATTGTTGATGAGGGTGTGGAGTGCTCTGATGTGGTGAAAGATCGCCTGATCACCTGGATCGCCAAACTTGTGGCTGACTTGATCATAGATGACATCTTGAAGGCCACCTTGATGCAGTCCCAGGTGGGACGCCAGCCCTTGCCGTAGCGCTAGCCTGTGGCCTTCAAAACCCCAGAAGGCTACCGGTTGGACTCCTCCTCTGTGTAGGCGGAGGCGGGTTCGG